AAAAAAAATTCAGTGCTTTCTTTGAGATTTGCATTTGTGGGTTTCCCTGCTTGCTGGGCTGCCATTGCAAAAAGACACATGCTTCTTGCTGCAGCTTGACTGACTGGCAATGCTGATGCGTGAAGGAGAAAACCTCGATAATTTCAATTCCTTTAGCATTCTAACACAAAGGATGGCTTTATCCCTTATGAAGAGATCTGGATACAGATAAAGCTTGTTAACATTGAATTAATAGATGTAGTGCAAATAATCAGGATGTAATAAAAGACAAAGTGTCCAAAGCCATAGTGATAGCTCTTTTTTCTCACCCCCCCCCCCCCCCCTTCTTTTTGTAGCACAGGGGAGGGAAGAGATGAAAGAAACATTATCCAAGCCTCCTTTTGCCATCAACCCCTCTTGAATAACGAATGACTGGAAGAGCTGCTCTGCAGCAAATGGTGTTAGTTTCTGTGCATCAGCATGAATTTAGATTCCAAGGCTTATTTGTAGGATTCAGCATTTTTGTAACAGCTACATGCAAAGAGCAAAGAAAGCAAAAGAAGTTAGACATTTACCCACTTATGACTTTTTTTTCCCCAGCTAGAAAAATAAACAAAGCTATACATAAGTGCCTATATATCAGTATTACATGTTGAGGACCCCTGGGACTGAAAATTTCTGCTCGTCCCATTTCTGTTTTAATAATGGGAAGCCTTCCTGTGAGAAAAAGAGCATAGAGATTATAAAAACTGGTTGTCTATTGAAGGAGAGTTCAGATTCTGGAATTGGTGCAAGTAAATAAAAGATGCTTGCAGTGTCAGATGCTGCTTTAACGTGGCATGTGCGGTAGATGAGAACTGAGCCTGTAACAGGTCTAGTCCAAGCACCACAACTGTTTGGAACTAGGAGGAATTGCTGAAGTTTAAAATAAATAAAAAAGGGTATGTGGGGGTCTTAATCCCTTATGTAGGGAACAGATAGCAGGTGTAATAGTAATCTGTGTAATCTGCTGGTGCGCACTAAAGAGAAAGTCACAAAGAAGTCATTGCTTCCTGTCCTCAGCCTGTTTCATACCTGTGCCCATGGATATTTTCTCTCTCTGTTGTTACAATTTCAGAGTCCAGAAAATCACTTGCCACTCCCTGGAGTCCTTAGAAGGCTATTTCCTGTATAGATCAGACTATTAAGGTATGAGGGTTCCTGCTATCCTTCCTTGCTTGCAAAACACTGAATCGATGGAAAAGCAATTAGAAGATACTGTGTCACTTTTTGGTCTCCATTTTTTTTTCTATCAAGCAATTCTGCACAGGGAGAAACTTCACAGAGCTGGCCTTCCAACCTGCAGTTTAGAATCTGTTTTGTTTTGCAGGAGCTTGTTAACCTGAGTTAGGCCATTACCCCAGAATTCAGAGTTCAGGCCTCCCTCCACTGCCAGACCCTGAATTAGCAGGGCATCCTGGAGTGTGTGCTGGCATCTGCCCTGCTGTTCCTCTGAAACAGGCAGAGCACACCCCCTGGCACAACTCCCTTCCCTCTCCAGCTTTTTCAGGTATTGAGAAGAGCTGTGTGAATCACTAGGGGTGAGGGCTCTACAGCTCTCGTACTTTCTTGCCTTCCATCACCTCTGTTTTTGGTGATCTCCTGTGAATAACTGCTAATACTTGCTTCGTCCGCTTCTTTTAGGCAGCGGTTTGGTAATGCTGAGCTCCAGCAAAAATACAGTTTTCTACTGTGCAGCTCTTGTTCCAAACTGTGTTGCCTGACCACACGCATGGGCATCCCCTCGCTGTTATCCAAAGGCAGCTGTGCATTGTACATTGGATCACTGATCTGGCTTCAAGAAAAATGGGGAGATGGGGCATGTTTCTTGGGTTTGTCTTGTTTTGAGGTTAGGTTGGTTCATGATCCTGCCCACAGCCCATCGTGACAAGCTGTGACTCAGCTGAACTGTGTGGGAACTCTAGGGGGATGACTGGGGGCTCCTTGAGCTGATACTGTTTGACAAAGCGGCTCTTTCCTCAAACCAGCATGAACCAGCAATGCTGGAAAACTTACCTGAAACTCTGGGTTTGTTCACAACTACCTCTGCACTTTTGTAGAATGTCAGGGGAACCTCGTCATAGTCTTATCAAAGCTATTGCAGCAATAGAAGCACAGTCTCTCTCCAGGCTCAGGAAGATGGCAGAATGTCCATTTATGTTTTTTGCAAGTTTGTTAAATTTAACCATATGGCTAGAATTTCAGTCTGTTTCTAAATCGTCACCTAGATTTTGTAGAAATTGGTGCTTTCAACCCTGCCTGGCTTTCATTTTAGAGGTGTCTGCGTCTCTTAAGATGTCTTAAAAGGTATAGTTATGGCTTCCAGTTTTAGACATAAGGAAAAGATTTAATTTATTTTTAAGGCTCAGAAGGAGAAATCCAAAGGTTAACAGTTGGTTGATGTTTCAGATGTTGCTTGCTATGTGTATCTGCTCTCTATTTTTGCATTTCCTCTTCTCTGCTTCTCCAGGTGTCATCTTGAAGTGAGTACATTCAAGCTTGGCACTAAGGAGTATATGAAACTTGCTTGTAGGTGTGGAGAAAAGAAACTGCAGCATCCTTGTGTGTATCAAAATGCCTTGTAAAAGCTCTTCAGAGAGTGAGAAGTCAATTCTGTGAAACAATTTTCATAAGCACTTGGTACAAACATGAAAAACATCTCTGCACACTGTGCAAGCACAAGATACACAGATTATAGTGCAGTTAACGTTAGTAAAGAGAATGGTTATGTCTAATTAGTAGCACAGGATAGGTGAGAAGGTTTTTGAAGTGTCCTGCTCAGAAGTGGCATTAATCCAGTAATAGCCAAGCAGTAAACCCTGTAATGCTTTTCTAAATGGCCTGGTTAGTCCTGAGGGTGTTTGGGCTTTATTGTTGCACACGTAATTTAATGAACTTTAAAGAGACCTCTAGGCAACAGCCCAAACTTAGAAGGGCAGAAGGGAAAATGCTGATAGACAGTCCTACTGAGCTAGAACACAGTGGCTGTGAAGGAAAAGCCGCTGAATGGGCTGATGGCTGAAAGAAGTAAAGCAACTGCACTTGGACTCGCTAATAGGCTTTTTGTCCAAATTGGAGACATCTCTTTCTTTAGGAAGTTATTTGTGTTGGAAATCAGGCCATAGCCAGGCTGGAGCAGGAAGGAAGAGGCGGATAGTTAGTGATCTCAAAAGGGTGTGCTCTGGGTGCAGAACGACAGCTGTGGAAGAAGTAGGTTGGCTGCAAGGGCATTGAACTTGGCAAGAAAGCTTCTTCAGCTCCTTGCACCGCTGAAAATCTGGTGTCACGCTGGAGCCTTTGGAGCAGAGCTGAGGGAGCCTGGAGGGCAGTCACGGTGGTGAGGCTTGCTGCCCGTTACAGCTAAGGAGCCCTCCTGAGGCCGCTCATCCCCTCCTGCAACCTCTCTGTGCTTCAGAAAAAGACGAAAATGTGCACTTGGCAGAGGAGTACTTGTCACCCTTTTCCTGTTACCAGCCTGGAAAAGAAGAGAAGCCTCTTACCTTCTGTCCAGTGGTTCCCGAGTGCTTCCCCAGCATTTCATAAAGTGTTACAGGCCTTTCCTGCCATGCTACTGTGTCTGCTTTGCTGAAAGGGATGTTGAAGCAGCAAAGAAGTGTAAGCTTTTTTTCTCAGTGATGCAAATTGTCTGTATTGGAGTCAATAAAGAAACCAGAATTTGTGACTTCCTTCCTGTGACCTTTAAATCATGCGTTTCCCTATATTGAGAGGTGCCTGTGACACCATTTGTGCCTTAGCTTGGCAATTGGATGGAAAAGCAATCTCATTTTCCTGGGCTGATTCATAGGTCCCTAATGACAGGTTACATGTTAATACTTGTTTTCAGTAATTATCATGCAGTTGTGTTTTGACTGGGATCTGATAGCAAACATGAGTGAGAAGAGCTTCAGGCTATGGCCTAATAGTGCAGCAATGATAGTTTTTGTTTGCCTGTTTGAAAACAGTTCCCCCACAGTTGTTGTAGTCCTTTTCTAAGGCAAATAGATCAGAGGTGGTTGCTCTTTGCTTGTTTTTTATTCTGTTTCAATGCATTTGACAATGCTTTATCTAGCATCCATTTTGTTGCTGCTCCATCATTACAATGAATGTTACTACAGGACATAAAGTATCAAATTCAGATCACAGCCGTATTGTGTAGGAACCATATAAATGTGCAGTAAAGAGACAGTCTCTGTCACAAAGTGTTAGTGGTGTCTAGAGAGATGAGGCAGAGAAGAAAAGGCATGATTCAGCAATGTGCCCCTGTTGCACAAAAGCTCAGTTGTAGAGTCTGATACAGAGCAGTTCTTCAAATGGGAAGGGATACATTTCTTGTGTACGAGGTTGCAGGATCGGGAAAGATGAGCTCTTACCTCCCTTCTAGAGATTAGCGCCTTTAAAATAAACTGGCCTTGCATGTGACAGAGAAAGAAGTTCAAGCATCTAGATAGTCAGAGGTTCCTTTCTGACCCTGATGGGGTCAGAAGTTTGTGTAGTGTTTAAGAAGCACATTCAGGGTCAGTGTGAAAGTCCTTATTGTTTTAAATCTCACTGAACTTTAACTTTTTAATTGCACCTAAAAGTCTCTTCTCCCAGCAGCTGGGGGGCAGGTGGGAGGGTTACTGTCCTTAGCAGAGGGATTCTCCTCTGTTTGCAAGTACTGTAAACAAGTAGGAAAAAAATTGCTGTTTCCCATCCAGAGGTGGGTGAAATAGGTCTGTCTCCATCTCAGATTCAAAAATCTCTCCTCACTGCCACTCGAGGTCCTTCCAGTTCCAAGGAACCAGTTGTTTCTATATTCCTCAATCTAGGAAGTTGGACAGCCCAGAGATGGTGAAAGTCTTGCGATGGATTGGCATCCTTTGGCTGGAGAAAGTGCTAAGAGTAGCCTTTGCCATTATCTTTGAGCTCAAATGCACGTAGGTGCCAATTTAAAGCAGAATGATGCTGGCTCACTGACATTGCTCTCTCCTGTTTCTTTACAGCTCCTGTATGACAACCCAAAAGCCCGTCAGGAAGTAGAATATCATTGGCGAGCATCAGGGTGTCCCCACATTGTCCATGTCCTGGATGTTTATGAGAATATACATCATGGAAAGAGATGCCTCCTCATTGTCATGGAATGGTATGGACCAGCAGCAGCCCCCCACCAAGCGCTGCTCTTTGAGGGGGTGGATAGAGTGGGAGAATGTGATGAGTTAGATGAGAGTTAGGTGAGCTTTCTCAGCAGCACGATTTTAGTTTGCACAGCAAACCTTTTGTTGTCTTTATGGAATTGGCAGGGAAATGTATAGCTGCTCCAGCCATCTTGTATGATGGAAGAATGAGGAACCTTAACCAGAAAATAAGTTTTCCTTGTACTCCATGACAATTGTCCTCGTTAAACCATTGACTGATTAGTACAGTCTTGAAAGATACATCTCTACAGATATGATGCACTTTGATTGTGATTGGCTTCCAACTTGAGATGTAAATTTTATGATCTGACATGATCCTTTTTGCTACTATTTTGCATCTAACTTTTCCTATTCTCTCCTTAACCTGTAATACCACAGTTATTGTTGTCTTCACTGGGGACAAATTAATAATCCTTTTCAGTATCTCTGCTTCCTTCTTTCTTTTTTCTTCATCTCCAACCCTTACATAAAAGAAGATTAGTCAGCCTCCTAGTGCCAGCGTATCTGACTTCCCAACTGTGTGTGTCATGTTCCTTGTGACAGGGTACATTAAACTGAAAGCATCAGAACTTCTTGGTCTTGTTTTGTTTTCTTGTTTATTCCATATCAGAATGGCTTTGTGCATTGATTCAAATGAGTGTGATGTTTAGGAAGCATTGGCATAGGAGGCCTGTAATATCTTCTAATCTGTTCCTGCCATGGTTCTGTGTGATTGTATGGATGCACAGTCAGGTGTTAATTTGATCTTTTCTGCTCATGTAAGGTGGGGTTTTTTTGTGTTCTTTGTTTCAGCATGGAGGGAGGAGAGCTGTTTAGCAGGATCCAGGAGAGAGGAGATCAAGCTTTCACTGAGAGAGGTGAAAAATCACAAGTTTAATTTTAAAGTTTGTGAAAGATTGCTTCTCCCTTTCTCTGTCCCCTTGCTTAGTTCCCTTACAGGAATTTTTCTTTGATATGATTTTTGTTTGTAACTTTTAATTTCTTTTTTTTTTTTTTTAGTTTTCTATCCAACTGCATATTAAACAGTTATTTTCAAAAGTTCCTGAAAATCAGGAATTACCACAATTGGCCAAGTTCAGGCACAGTGTGGAAGGTTTAGAGGAAAACTCTTCATACAAATCTGCTCAGCTTCTTCATTTCTGAACCACCGCAGCCTCTGTTACTCTAGTCCCTGGTCTCCTGCCAGACCACCTCTAACATGATCAGTGCAGCTCCTACTGTGATTTCTCTTCTGGCTGTCCCTCAAGCAGCATCACTGTACACAGCTATACTGTTAGGTGATGAATATAACGAGCAAATCACATTTGATGAAACATCTCTTATTTGAGGGTTTTAAAGTACTACTTGAAAGGAAGTGTTATTAGCCACACTGTAAACAAGCCTGCTCATCTATAATAGGGACTATGTGCAAGTTTAAAGAGCTACTATGAGTCAGTGACAGCTTGCGATAGAATAGTCTTGCCATTTTTATTGTCTTTGCTATTTATTATTTGCAGAGTACCACGGGTGTGCTTGACTCTGATTCTCCTTGCTCGTTCACAACAGACAGGAGCTTGTTTCTTCTCAAGAGTAAAAATGTTAGTGTTTGTAACTAGCATTGTGACAAAATGATTAGAAGAAAAACTCACACCTGAGCTTGTAAATTACTGTGAATGGTTTGCAAGTCTGGTATAGAGGCCAGGCTTTTTTTTGATTCTGTGATCCTTTGTTTCCTAGCCTGGGATGAATCCTTTAAGTGGAATGAAAGACTCATGTAAAAGCATTTTCAGGAACTTTATTTGTTCCTCTCTAAAATACAAGATTCCAGGGGGGGAAGCTGGTTCTGTGATCATTAGTGACTCCACTCTGCTAAAACCATGATTTTTCTACATTAAATACCATTGTATAATATTCTAAATACTTACTCAGAAATCATCTGGGAGTGTTAAACAAAAAAACCACCTTCATTCTTTCCTGAGATAAATGAGTCCTGTTCCACTGGATTCCCCAGGTTCACTGGCTGTTTATATATCAGCCATGGCTTCCCATTAGGAGACAGGGATTTTGGCCTGGGCCAGGAAGGAGGAGGTTGTGCAAGGTTTTCCCTGAAGATGAGTGTTTCTGCCTTCTGATTGTCCTTGCCTGAGATTGTGTAATTTCAATCTCGAGCCACGTGAAAAAGGATTCCAGGTTACAGTACAATAATTTCTGCTTTCTCACTACTGCAGCTGAGGTTTCTACCTATGCAGAAAGCAGAGGATCAGGCTGAAGTTGCTAATTCTGTTTCCCTGTCAGTGGAGATGTAATATAATGCTCATTTGGTACAATGGGAATGTCACTCCTCCCTGCTCTGAAACCTCTCCCTGTGTAACTGAACTCTTCCAGGCTTCAAGAGTACTGCTGTTGCAAGGCAGCTCACCATCACTAGAATTTCCCACTGGGGTTATGTTAAATTTTAGAAACATAGTATTTCAAAGATGGCAGTTTGGGCTTTGCAAAATAGAACTGTTGATTTTGTTTCTCCTGAGGAAAAACTTCTGAAGACAGTGAGGAATGAAGACGTGACCTATCCTAAAATTACTATATTGTTATGTTGCTCTATTTTTAGAAAATCTGTTAGATCCTCATATTACCCCTGAACTAGAAGCTGAAAGTTAAACTTCTGTCTTAGACAACTAAGGATGTGTCCTGGACAATCAGAGATATGTCCTGGTTGGGGCTCCTTTCTCCAGTCTTGCATGTTGCTTGTGTACCTGCTCTGCTCTTGCTGCTTTTCTGGTGAGCAAATTAAAGCACCAATTTACAAGCTCATAAGAAGCAGGAGTCTCAACTGTTCAGCTGCAGTGCCTGCTTGGGAGGAGGGCTGAGCAGCCGGGGAATTGGGGGGTATGGTTGCCTGCAAAACCAAAACACAGCTGTTAGGGCTAATTTTAAGTTTTCTAGTCTTGACGCTAGCCCTGTATTCCAGCAAGCTGTTTGTAAGTCATAAGCATTCCCAAGCATGTCCCTGAATTACAGTGGGAATGTTAAAGTGACCTTTCTCTAAAATTGTATTTATAGAGGCCTCTGAAATAATGAGAGACATCGGAACAGCCATCCAGTATCTGCATTCAATGAACATTGCCCATAGAGACGTCAAGGTGAGGCCTGAAGGTGTGTGGTCAGGGAGAAAAGAGCATAAGGCAGAAAATAAATGGGCAGTGGTGGTTGAAATAGAACTAGGAGTACAATCAGGCGGTCGAAGTGTTTCTATTCCTCTGCCAGTGTGAGAAGGGATCTGCTCACAACTAGTTTGCAACTAGTCAAAGGTCAGAATATTTATGTGTGCTAATGCCTTTCAGTTGTGTACAGAATGCAGAAGAATCTGGTAATAGTCAGATGGTTAATTAAAGAGGTACTACCAACTTGCAATCCAGTTAATTAACAAAAAAATAACACTGCCTGAAGTGAACTTACACTAGATGCTATACCTCTACAGTCCTTATTAGTTGGTTTTGGAATCATACTTGCCTAAAAAAAAAAACAAAAACAAACAAACAAAAAAACACCACAAAACAAACAAACAGAAAACCCAAACAAACACCAAACCCCCCTTCAGAAACAGGAGAAACTGCATATATGGGAGGAATAATACCAATTCCATGCATCCAACCCACTTTAATAGTATATGTAAATATTTGGGAAAATGGGAAAATCTCAGTTACTACCATGTGGAACAGTACGTTTTATTAGCTAAAGCTTGTACCCAAATCTTGTTGTAGAGATTTGACAGGGTTTGTGGTATTGTATTTTGTTTTCATTCTGTAAAGTGCACAGCATAAGCGAAGACAAGGTAGCTACACCAAGGTATTTCTAGCACAGTGATACAGCAGTGTGATGGAATGTGCTGGAGAGCAGGTCACATAATGATAGACTGAGGCATCTGATTGATTCCGCAGTTCTGAGTTCGTGAATTTTCTACAGGTGCTTCTGTGTGTTTAGCTGGAGGGAGAACTGCCATTGCTTGCTATCACTGAGGGGTATGTCTGAGGGCTCTTTAGGTAGGAACTGGAGAATGACTTAACAGTTCAGAGGCGAAAAATCTATTCACTTTTCTGGGGCTATGTGCCATTGCCTATCACCAGCACAGAAACTGAAGCACTTAACCCCAAACACCACCTACACACACTCAGTAAACTAACATAGAAACGGTTCAAATTGCTTAATAGATCCTAAATCCTGTTTTCTTTCAAGCCCTTCCTTCTATATGTCCCTAAACACTAGCATCAGAGAGGATGTAGCTTCCTTATGACTGGGAAACTGGAAAACAAGTACAAACAATTGCAGATTCTGGAGATGTGCTGTTGTCCTTGTTCTTGTGCACGAGAGCTTGTACTTCCCTCTGTGCCACTTCTGGTTTTGGAGAGCCTTTATGGAGTGTGGAGCAAGAGTGGAATTAACTGAGGTTTCAGGAGACGGGGGGTGGGGTGGGGGAGCAGGGAGGGGACTGTGTCTGTATCAGTTAATTCTGATGGAGTTATGTCAGTTGCTCATAGAGAGTTTGGCTGATGACTCCTCATGTCTTCCACCTCAGCTACTTGAGTGCGGTACAGAATGGTGTCAGATCAACTGGTGTTGATCAGACAGAACAATCCTAGTAAGTGCAGTGAACTAGAGAGAGGTTCAAGAAGCCAGACTTGATGCCCGTTGGACCTGATGAGAGCCTTGTGATTTGCTCTCCTAAATACCCTGTTGAGAAGGATGTTGATCCTTAGTCTGAGCAAAAATGCTACACGTTGGGAGGGAACTTTCTGCATCGTATGGTGGGGGTGTGAGAGAAGTAAGAAGACCCAGATGGTGGTGGTGATCCAGGCAAGCGGGAATGGTTTGACCTTTCAGCTCATTAGAGACATCTCTTCATTGTCCAGTTTATCCTTTCTCTTGGTGGCCTTTCAGCCTGAAAACTTGCTTTACACGTCTAAAGAGAAGGATACTGTACTCAAACTCACAGACTTCGGCTTTGCCAAAGAAACCACTGTACAAAATGCGCTGCAGACCCCCTGTTACACTCCTTATTATGTGGGTAAGTTATCCAAGATGCATTTCTTTTGTGTTTCAGTCTGTCATCCCTCCCCTTATAGTGGGCCTGTGGACTGTAGGAATGGATGGGAAATCTTCTACTGTGGAGGTAATACAAAGAGGTAGCCTGTAGAATTTAAACTGGCATCCAACGCAAACCTAGTCTGGTTCCAGTACATTTCAGTGCTCCTGCTTTCTTCCTTGGTTGCAGAGGAAACAGCCTTAACAGGGGATGCAAATGAGGATCAAGAAGAGAGAACATGTTGCTTCTGATTACACTTGAAGTAATCCTGATGTTTCCTCTGAATGATGCGATAAAAGCCATAATTTGAACTCAGCTTCATGATTATTTGGGTGTTTCCTCGCAAAACTTCCCTTAGCTTAACTAATGCAATAAAAGAGAACAGGGAGAGTATTGCCTCAGCTGTAAAGCTTCTTAAAGCTGGCAAATGGAGGAATTAAGTAATAAAACACCAATGTGACTTAATCATAACTGAATTTTAGCCTGCATTTTGTCCAAAGACAGAGCACTGTGTAATGAATGCCACAGTAGACTGTCCGTTATGCACTCATTTTAGAGTATGTCCCTTTTGGTCTTTAAGTTAATAGTCATTCACTGTATGGTATGACTGAGGCAGTCTGCGCATGGAATTTCTTTGGAGGAAAAAGGGCTTGATTTTTTGGAAGAATTAGTTCTCTTCTACGGTGTAAGTTTTCATAGTTTTTTGTATTGAAAGGTGCTGTTACCTATTGTTAGCAGAGAAATACAATAGCAATTTTTTTTTCTGATGCTTTCTTCTCTATTTTTTAGCTGGAATTACTGATAAAATGTTAAGGAATTTACACATATATGTTTTTATGCCCTTATATTTGTATACAAACAGGCTGACATTTCCCTTCTCAACACCTTTTTATAAACCAGCATGATTGCTCATATGTTTAGAGAATCATTTTCCTTGCAAAATCAAGCTCCCTGCCAGTTCACCTGCCCCAGGGAAGAAAAAAATCCCCTCTAAATGTATCTGTCTATAATTTTGTTACTTAGTGAAAAAATGTAATGCTCTGGAGGCCAAAGAAAAATAGATTGCTCTGTACTTGCTGGAGCTAAACACACTCTACCCAGGTACCAATCAAAATTTTATCACAACTCAAGTAGGTCCTTTCTGTTCTGATTTCTGGAACATATGCTCCTGCCTGTTCAGTGCAGTGTCTCCCTGTACACATTTAGCTATAGCTCCTTCTGCTTTTCTGTAATCTTAGTACTCTCTTGAGCAGAGAGACACTAAGGTGAAGAGTAGGGCATTTTGCCAGCTCCATTCCTCCTTTTTAAAGCTACGTTAGATGTGTTTAGGAACTTGTCAATAGAAAATACTACCCAGTTACTGCAGTGAGTTGCAATTTTTAATGCCTCCAATATTTGTTGTTGAAGTGTGCTGCTACTTATAAGGTGATGGAGATGAAAGAAAATATCTGGTACTCTGTTAATATCTGTTTTTAATCTTCTTCAGCCCCAGAAGTCCTTGGTCCTGAGAAGTATGACAAATCATGTGACATGTGGTCATTGGGTGTCATCACATATATTCTGTAAGTATTTGGAAAGAGGCTTGATGAACGGGAAAAAGGACACATCGTATTAAATGTGCACTTAGAAGTAATTAGTCACTAGGATCATGTAACCTGCAAAAGAATGTAAGCTTGTATGGGACTTTTTAAGGGATGAAAGGACTTCCCTAGTTATAAGAGTTCTTTTGTCCACTCTTACAGCCTATGTGGGTTCCCTCCATTCTACTCAAACACTGGTCAAGCCATTTCTCCAGGGATGAAGAGACGAATTCGGATGGGGCAATATGGGTTTCCCAATCCAGAGTGGGCTGAAGTATCAGAGGAAGGTAACAATGCTCACTGCTACTGATGAGTATGTGCATGGTGTGCAGTGGTAGAGTGCTTACAAGAGACTATTTCTAAAAACCTGTCTTAGATTTTTGTTTCCCTTCTTCTTAGAATTTAAATAAATTCTTTGTAAGGTGATACAAGGAACGACTGGGAACTCAGACACTAGCCAGCAACCTAAGTACTACAGAAAGTAAACGACTACTGAAAACTTTCTTTCAAATTCCAGTTAAAAAAAATGTGGAAACAAAAGTCTTTAATCCTGAGAAAGGAGACTGCCAGGGCAGCTGCAATGCAAGCTGAGTTGGAAGAAAGGCAAACTGTCTTAAGAACTCATTCAGTCTTTTCCTTCCTTGGTGATACAGCCAGCAAGGATGGCAAGTTTTCATGCTAGCTTTTTGTGATGTGGGAACTTGCCAGTCACCACTTAAATCAAGGTCAACAGTTTATTTTGTATAAGTCATTGACCAAAAGCTGCTGCTGTTCAGCTGTGACCTGGATGGGCTCAAACCAGTGTCCTGAAAGTGGATGCTTTTGATACCCTCTTATTCTGACAGTCTCATAAGCTGGAAGTCTCGCCTGCCCATCATATTAGAGAGAAAGGTCAGCAACCTCTGAGCACATCTTTTTTTCTAACAAGCCCTTTATATTGCTGTTGCTAGCATCCTGTTACTGTCTGCTGTTTAGCAATAACAAATTATTATTGGATAATACTGTGATCTGTGGCACTTTAACCCCTCATTGGATCTCATGGTTGCGTGTGCAGCATGGACTACCGAACATTAATAAGGAAGATGTTTTACCTGTGGGTTGCTGGCTTAATATTTCATCTGCCTTGGGTCTTGTTGTGTTCATATTACAGCAGTTATTAAAATGCTAGGGGAGATTGGTGAGAGAACATTCACTTGGAAAATCTGTAGGGTTTCTGTATGCTTGCCTGAATGAGGATAGGTGCCTCCTACCTTGAACCTACTAATATCAGCTAGTTTATGTGCACTCTTTTAGGCTGATCAGGCGCCTTCAGCAGACAGCTTCTTTTTGCCCTCCTTTATACTGTTCTTATGGTTTTCTTTAATCATTCCTTTGTTGCATCATCTATGGAGGCTTCCTCTAAATTCCGCACCAGCTTCCTGTAATCATCTTAATGGGCTCTGTTTGTGGTCCCCTCCTTTTTTTTTTCCTTGTACATTTTAGACTCCAGGTAATCTCTTCTGTAAACCTCCTTTGCAGCCTCTCTCAGCAAACTAAAGTCTCAACTTGTACTTCTGGCAGCTTCTTACAAGCATTTAGTCATCTTGCACTCAATGTTTCTAAAAGAGAACTCTTATTCAGAAGTTTTTCCAGGTTCCCCCAAGGAAGTTATGTTTCAGTCTTTCTAAATAACATCCCTTGGATGTAGTGTTTCCTGTCTGACCACCTGCATTAAGGAAACTCTTGTCCAGACTCTCATCATCTCTTATCTCAGTTACTTAGTACTCTTGCTTTGGCAGAGACCATGTTCACAGAAAGCTGTTACAAAGCCTGTTCGTGCAATCCATTTCTTTGACTTTGTTGTCATTTTAGTGGCCTCTCAGTTGTCAAAGAATGTCTTCTGTCATTTCTCAAAACATCAGCTTATGCATTCATTCAGTCCATAATGCCAAGATTCTTGCCATCTTTCAGACAGGCAGCTTGGCAGCTTTCTGTTCCTATGTTTCTCTTTTTCTCAAGTTCTTGCTCTCAAAACAGTTGATTTGGTGACGTAGATAGCATAGATGGAAGCCCCAATCCTTTGTCTTTCCTTCTTACCTCTTGTTTTGGATGTTTTCATATTCTGCATCTTTAAACTTCATAACCTGCCACACTGTACCATGGCTTCTACCTATTGCTGTTACCGTGTTAAGGTGTTTTGAGGTCTGTAAAATTATCTTCCTTCATTCAGCAGGTCTTTGTGTTCTCAAGGTTATTTGGGAACGCAGTAGTAGATTACAACATGCCATGTTGGTCCTGTTTTTCAGCCAAACAACTGATTCGCCATTTACTGAAGACTGACCCAACAGAGAGGATGACAGTTTCTCAATTTATGAATCACCCTTGGATTAACGTGAGTTTCATATCTCTTTTTACAAGGTAGCAAGATGAATTACTTGCAGAACTTACATGTAGCTCCACAAAGCACAGCAAGAGAAGGATGATGATTACTGTTAATAACTTATTTAACCTACTGTGCCCTCCACAGAGGGTCATCTGCCTGTAGAACCACAATTCTTCTTGGTGTTACCAGAGGACACACAAAGAGAGACACCCACAATAGTGTCCTTGGAAGCAAAAGCCAAATGTATCTATATCTTCTGTGAGCAGGCAGTCACTGTTGACTCTGCAGCATATGCATGTGTTACTCTCTTTAAAAATATAAAAATAAACTTATGTACTTACTTCATCGGTGCAGGATTTAAAGAGAGCTATTATTAGTGGTCTCAGGCACCATTGTGCATAGCTGTGTTACTGTGAACACGGTCCTATGCTTAGTGGGAATTCTCATCCTTGGCAGAGTTTGGAAATGCGTGGGGGAGGAGCAAGGGTCTCAGCTTAGTGCCCTGTAAGAGATTGCCAGATAGGGTGGTACACAGAGCTATTAATGGTTCCAGTTCAGGTTTCATTCTATGACTTGGTTGAGTTTACTTTTCCTTAAAAAATACTTTTTGGGGAAAAGGAAAAAAGGCTCTAATAGTACGATATTAATTATTTCGAACAAGAGACGAATCCCAGGAGTTATCAGGCTGAGTTTCAGGATATCATCTCTGCTCCGCAGGTGTCACTTAAAATAATAGATTATACTTCTTACATTTGTGCCTAAAAGGACATTGGTCTTGTTCTTGCTGCCAAAAAAATCATCAGCCAGGAACAGAATCACTTGTACTGTAGAATGCCCTATTCTCTCACAGTGCTTTCTCTGTCTATGCTGATCCTCAGAGGAAGGGGCAGAAACAGAGGTATGACTAATAGTCAGCATTTCTATAATGCCTGTTTGAAGATCTGAAAGCCCTTAGAATCATATAGAAATGTAGCTGTGTAACATCCTGATGAAGTCAATAGATGTCTTCATTTAGAGTTGTGAAAGCTGAGAAATTAAGGTTACAAAGACTCTGTAGAACTGGAACAGAACCTAGACAATGTTTCTAAGTCTTTTTTAACCAAATAAAAATGTAATCACTGTTCAGAATAAATACCGCCAGCTTTAAGTGTTTGAAGACCCAAGAAGGAGGTGTTCCAGAAGTCAGCAGGCGATGAATTTCACAGAATGAGTGCCTAATAGCTAAGGAAGCTACCACCTACAGCGACACATGTTACTTGAAATATGCATATAACCAATTAATAAGGAGGAGATTAGAGACAAGGTCTATAGACTCTGCTGCACCAAAGAGCTGTGCTAGAATACCATTCCTAGAAGCATGCTCTAGGAGCT